ACATATATTCTAGTAAAGTGGTACCTCTAGTTACGAATGCCCCTACTTACGAATTTTTCGAGATACAACCAGCTCAGGCCCCAAAAATTTACCTCGAATTGCGAACTCGCCTCGACTTACGAACCGGATCCGCGGCAATTTTCCGCCCCTGACACGTGGTCCGCGGCCATTTTTCCGCCCCGACACGTAGTCCGCGGCCATTTTTCCACCCTGCCGCGTGCTCCACGGCCGTTTTTCCGCCCCTGCCGCGTGGTCCGCGGACGCCGGAACAGATTAACGATAATTACATTGAACCTTATGGGAAAATTTGCCTCGTGTTGCGACCAATTCGAGTTGCAACCAGAGTCACGGAACGGGTTAAATTCGTAACTCGTTGTTCCACTGTACTAATATCAAAGACAATCAAAAGCTGCCCCTAAGTTTAGTAAAGATGCACAAATGCTAAATTTACAATGCAATTCATCATCATCATCATCATCATCCAGAAACAAATTTAATTTAAACCAAGTTAATGTTTTTCATTGTGTATGAGTGTGTACAGATTTGCACATACACCATACAGTACTTCACTGAAAGAGCATTAGAATTTAACCCCTTTTTAATGCTGCACAATATTGGCAAATACTGTAACTAAAACTTTAAGTGTTCTTTTGTGTAATAAAATGGTGATAAAAAGAAAATATCCAGTTTAAATGAACATGAAAAAGTGAAATAACAGTTAACCTTCCTTTAAAACTGCCCTTCTGAGTGACTAGAATTGGTGGGTAGACATGCACATTTAGAGGTTATTATATCTACACAGTACATACCTGTACATACTTGTGGATAAGCTGAGAATTTTAGGTTCAAAAATACACCCCCAAAATTGCATTCATCTTACTCGCGGATGGGCTTATCTGTGAGAATATCTGGTAATACTTTTTAAAAGTACCAGTATATAATTGCAAATATGACCATCCATGGATAAGTTGATTCTCAAATTTTTAACAAAACTACCATGAAAAATCCATCACCTGCAGATAAGCCAATTGTGAAAACTGAAACACAGAAAATTTTAAGAACTGGCTTATCCATAGTGGGGTGCATTTTTCATGGTAGTTTGGTTAAAAATCCAAGGGTTGGCTTATCCATGAGTATATATGGTACAGTGGAACCTTGGGTTACGAATGCTTCTGTTCACGAACTTTTCGGGTGACGACCAGCTCTGGCCACAAAATTTTGCTTCGGTTCGCGAACTCCGCCTCCGGTTACGAACAGGATACGCGGCCATTTTCCCTCCCGTGACACGGTCTGCAGCCATTTTTCCGCCCCTGACACGTGGTCCGTGGCCATTTTTCCACCCCTGACACGTGGTCCGCGGCCATTTTCCGCCCCTGACAGGTGGTCCGCGGCCATTTTTCCGCCCGACACATGGTCCGGGGCCATTTTTCCACCAGACACGTGGTCCCCAGCCATTTTCCGCCCCGGACACGTGGTCGTAGGGAGGGGGACTCTCCCTCCAAGCAATAGCGCCTCCCTGTCCTCCATGCCAGAACG